ATGGTATTCCGCCAGTTCCCGAGGTATATTTTGACGGTTTTATGCGGCTGCCGTTTCAATACCGTGCTCCAGAGGTTGAGTCACATCTATAGCCTCCCCATATGTCACAATGTATCAATTCAAAGCAGCGAGTTGTCTTAATGGAGCTGGTAGGGAATGGTAGTCTGGTCTGCTTAGCACGGATGCATGGATCACAAAAATTATCACTCCGTCGAAAACCCTTGAGAGAATTAATATGATTTAATTTTCCATCAGATGCATGTCCCAACCGTTGATGCCATATATCAGAACTAACAGACACAGACATTGCCATCCTTTCACTTTTTGGAGACTCCAAGTAATAAAGACCACCACGGAATTTACCCACGCCAATTAGCTTCCTCGATGGTACGTCTTGCAAAATACAAAAGTCCGAAAAAAATGTCAGTGTGCAATTCAGATCACTTGTTAAGCGACTAGCTGAGAGTAAGTTGCACTGGAATTTTGAAATATATAGAACACGTTCAAGACGGAGCCCATTGAGTAAGTATAAACTTCCGACAGCATGAACCTGAATGGATTCACCGTTAGGAATTGTGACTGATGACACATGATTGACGATATTAAAAAGATTAGTATCACTACAAGTGATATGCTCAGTAGCTCCAGAATCAATTATCATGGCAGGCACGACCATGCCTGACTGGCAGTAGCTCCACGTTGTTTCCTTCAGCCCCGCCTGACTTCGGGTGCACAGCGTGCCTTCTTTCTTTCCGAATTTGACGATGCTTCCTTCATAAAGGTTGTAGATAATGAAGTCCGCTATCCGCCACAACTTGAAAAACTCTATTTGAATCATTCAATAAAAAGATATGAATACAATGGTGGAATGTCGCATTCTGAAATCTCAATAGCAATTCTGACTCCCCCGTCTGTTTTCACCTTGCTCCTATAAAAATCCCGCAATGGTGTCTTCATATGATTTGTAGCCCTTGAAGTTAGATTTCATATGGAACTTGAATCACGTTCTTTGGATGTCGCTACAAAACGATATGCTTGAACTATTGACAAAACGTCACCCTGATCGCCGTTTTCAAGCTCCATGCGTCTTTTTTTTGTTTTTTTATCCCGTAGCCAATTCTAGAGCCCTTTTGTCATCAAATCTTCATCGTAAACCTCCCAGTGACATCCAAAGCTCTCAATTCTCTCTCGAATTCATCTGGACTCGTCCCAATTTCTTCTCAAGCACCGGTGTCGGGCTCAAATTCCCTGATTTTGACTCCAAAAATACCAAAACTCGAATCAGCGCCTGGTAAACATAACTTGAGGTAAAATTGAGACTCGTGACACCTTAAAGCTAAGGAAACCATCAAAATCCGATCCCAACATGCATCAAATGCGTGTCAAAATACGAACTTATTAATCATATAATGAAGACTTACCAACGTCATCCAAGGCTTTGTCGCCTTCACCTTCATCCAAACCTTCAACAACTTCATTTGAACTCCAATCCATTCAATAGCTCCCGGCACATGAGTGTGCACCTTCATCACCTACTCTCCCCATGTCAAGCTATAAAAAATTAACTCATTCCCTAAACTCGCATGTATCCTTCCCGCTGAACTCCATTCAAGAAGATGGAAGGATGGATGATAAAATTGATATTAATTTAGGTTGGAGAAATAAGGCTCACTGGGAGCATGAGTATGAACAAATCAAAATGAGAAAATAACTCTTCTCTCTTATTATTCCACATACCATCCGTATGTGTATTATATAATACAAGGTGGGAATAGGGCTACTATTGCATGGGCCACGCATATATAAACCCAATAATGTAGCATACGTAAATATCACTACAAAAAAACATCGAAATAGGCACGGACTTGGCACGGATTGGCGAGTTTGGCACGGACTGTAACTTATTTTTGGCACAACGTCGTGCCAAATAGCTGGTGACAAAACGACTTTGGCACGGAATTTGGCACGGATTTAACGCATCCGTGCCAAATCCGTGCCAAATACCCGACGAATTTTGGCATATCCGTGCCAAAGCTCCGTGCCAAATCCGTGCCAAAATCGTTGTTTTTTTGTAGTGTATATAGTATAATCTAATACTAAATTATTACAATATTAAAATATCATATTTCCAATTAAGATGATAACCTATCTTCTTGCTGCACTGTAGCTCCAAACTCCGAAAAAAAGACAAGGAGGGAAACGTGGCTCAAGACACAGAGGATAGAAGTAGAGTGGAGAGAAGGCTGGGGATAAAAGATGTTAAGATTGAAGCTTTTTATTGGTGCGTCAAAGGTGTACACATTTTGTGTACACCTAACAATTTTTCGTGACATTCATATACATTTTTTTAAAGGTTAGAATACATTGTAATTCCTGCAAATACGACACACTTTGATTGGGTCCCTGTAATTTTTTCCTGTTTTTTGTTTTTTCCCATCCAAGTAATATGCTTTTTTTTGTTTTTAGTCCATCGCTAACTTGAAATCACTCCATTTAGAAGAAAGAAAATATTGCCAGTTACATAATTTCACTAATTTTTTTTAATTATCTTAAGAGTTTTTTGAGGCAAATATGAGAGTCAAAATAATGTAAAAAAATTATTCATAGTTTAGGAATATGTATTAAAAACCATTCAAAAAATTAAAAAGAATTAGAAGAACCCTATTAGTCGGGATTGTTATCATTAATAATGAACTAAAAAACCAACTTAAATTTCAGAGATAAAAAGCAAAAAATAATTTCATATTGTAACTATATTTAAACACTAATGTTATTTGTACACGTCATTTGTACACAACATTTTACACGCCTATCAAATTGTGCTTGCGTTATATTTAGGGAAAAGTACTAAATCAGCTCTCAAACTAACACTGATAGTGTAAATCACCATCTAAACTAAAAAACGCTTCAATGAAAACCTCCAAGTATGTGATAAAGTGAAAATCACCCATTCAACTAAAAAAACCGCAATCAAAAGCTCCAACTCGACAATATAGTGTAAATTGCTTTCCTAATTTGTAATTTATTGGTTAAAGCTGATGCATGCCATTTATTAAAAAATTGTCCACATAAGATTCATTTATCCACTTTATACAAACAACAAACTATACACATTAAAAATGAAATGTAAATTTATTTGAGCACTGAATTGACTTGTACAATCACAAAAAATATTTAAGCAACAATAAAGAAGGTCTACATGGATCTCCTAGTCTACATTTTCTTCAGGAAGTGGCAAGACAGTGTTAGGTTTAGTTCTTGAGTTTGTTGATGAGTCTTCAGCCAATAGTGGAAACACTTAAGCGTCTTCAGAGATTGTGTGTTCAACCTTGTTCTATAAGCAGTTAATAAAAGGTTTAAGTGAGATATATTGAAGTTAATAAATGAATCTTATGAATCTTATAAACAGTTAATAAAAAGTTTAAGTGAGATATATTGAAGTTAATAAATGAATCTTAATCGGTAAATTACAACTTAGGAAAGTTATTTGTGCTATATCGCCAAGTTAGAGAATTTTTTATTGCAGCTTTTTAGTTGAAGAGGTGATTTACACTTTACCCCAACTTGAAGGGTTTAATTAGAGTTTTTTTTTTTTTTTTAGGGGTGAATATCTGTATTAGTTTTAGGGTTGATTTTGTACTTTTTCCCTTGTATTTAAACTCCTTTTTGAATTAGGGAAATTTACCAGGATATGACTAAAACTTAATGAGTTTTCCAATCTATGACCTAACTAGTTTTTATACCTTTCTATGACCAAAAATCCAAAAATAAATAGAAAATTCGTTTATAATTAAATGTTGAATGACAAAAATACCCCTTTTTAAAAGATGTGCATTTTGCACTAATTTCGTTTAATTAAAATTACTGCACTTTATCTTGCCATTAATGCACAAAATTAATGCATGACTTTACTGCACATGCGATAATAATCACTGCACTTCCCCTAAAATTAATTCTTTTCTTATTCAATAGAGGATTTTGTTTAAAATTTAATAATTTTATGATTTTATGTCTAATTAAGTATATTGCGTTTCATGGCGGCATAATTGCACTATTGGTCATATTCACTGCACAACAAACTTTATTAATGCATTCATTCACTGCCACCTACAACATATATATTGTGACATTGATTGCCACAATTATTTCCATGTTCAATGTCAATTTTCAATACCCACAAACCATAAATTCAGTCACAATATTTAGCAATATCAATTATCATGCTCACTGTCCATATTCACTGTCCATGTTTAATGCTCACAAACCCTAATTTGAAAATTAGAAAAACAAGAATAAGAATTGAATAGGACGACCGGTCAATAACCCACTTTCTATCAACCATCACTTCACCCACATCTATCCCTCGTATTTCCATCCAAAGCAAGATTGGCAAGATTTTCTTTCCCCTTGAAGATGAAGACGCAACGTAACCTCCCTTCAAATTAAGTGCCGGCTCCACCCAAGTTTCTGAAAAAAAACCCAAGATCCTACACGCCCGGAGGAAGGCGGCCATTGAAGCGGGTCAAACCAGATTAGTCGCCACCACTGCGCCGGCCTAGGACAACCACGCAGATGACTAGTTTTCGGCCTTGTGAACCAAGTACTCACATCGCAGGTTGAATCCTTGAAGTAGAGGATGACGGGGTCATGGGGCGGCGTGCTCCTAGGCGGTGATCGTGCTTATGGACGGCGGCTAACGGTGGGCCATGGGGGTGGCGGCGGCAACGGACGTGTGATGGCAGGCGGATGGATCTATGGAGGTGGGAGAATGGAGGTTAGGGTTGGAGAAAAGAGTAGGAGCTTAGGGTTTTATAGATATAACATTAAGGGTAAATTTGTCCACCTATATTTTTTAATTATTTAATAATTATGAATTTAATTAAATATTAATATTATTTTGGTAAAAAAACTAGTTAAGTCATAGATTGGAAAAGTGGAGAAGTTTTAGTCACACCTAGGGTAATTAGAGCTTTGAATTAATACGTTGTACGAAGTATAGACTCACAGACCCTGCAAACCTGCATCGCATCCTACGAGGGTTGTTGGAAGTTAACGACGGCCGTCTCTGGAGTGAAAAAGTGTGTAGTGTTGACGTCCGGATTGGCCGCCAGCCCTAGGTGTCGGAGAATCTCCAAAGCTGTCCTCATCCTCCATTGCCATTCTCCCTCACCAAGCTCAGTGTCCTGCCCCCCGAACCCGTGCGTTTGTAGATTCTTTCATCCTTCACATACCATCAGTATTCAGAAAATTAAACGAAAATGGCATGACCAAGATCACTGGTTATACTTACAAGTTGGGTTTAGAACAGCGTGCTTCGGAAAGAATGCGATTTCAGGTTCATCGTGCATTGAAGTTTGCCCCCATTTCTCGCAACTTCTACGCTCCTGCTCACAGCGAACCTCACCATCCTTTTCATGCCCCCCTCGAAGGAGCTGAGACGGTTTGGTTCGCCAAAGCGATTTGCATACTTTGCGTTCGCCATTCATCTAGTCTTGATGTCTTGGGCTGTGATTATTTCCGTCAAAATCTGAATTCGCTGATTGCTTTTGACGTAATCGAACACATTAGTGGTAAATTGAATAACCCCACGTTGGCATTTAGCTTCTTCCAATTCGCGAGACTCAATTTGAATATTGTCCATTCAGTTTCTAGCTTCCGATTGCTGCTTATGTCTCACTGCGAAATAGGTCTCCATCATACAGTTAAGTTATTGTTTAATCACATGAGAATGGATGGGTATTTCCCAGACAGGTCAATTGTAGAATTTGTAGTATTGACACTTGCAAATGCAGGCAGCATTGAGGTTGCCAAGGAGATTTTGATTTCCGAATCTCATGCGAGTAATGAGAAATGTGGAAATATTTGCCATTTTCTGCACAGTAAGTTTTTGAGTTTGTTGATGAAGAAAAAGAGGGTGGAGGAGGCTGTTAGTTTCTTTATAGATTATATTTTGAGGTCTAAGAATTTTTGTTTGGATACTTTCACATTTAACATTGTCATCCGAGGGTTGTGCGTGTCTGGAAAGGTTGACAGAGCTTTTCCATTTTTAACTGGCATGGAGAATTTTGGCTGTCTTCCCGATGTTGTTACATATAACACTCTCATAAATGGATTTTGCAGTGCCGGTGATGTAGATAGAGCTCAAAGTTTATTGAGAGAAATACATTTACTTGATCGATTCTCCCCAGATGCTGTGACATATACATCTGTTATTTCAGGTTACTGCAAGTTGGGTCGAATGGTTGAGGCGGTCAATCTAATGGAAGAAATGATTTCTTTTGGGATTCGACCAACCTTGGTTACTTTCAATATTTTAATAAACGGGTTTGGCAAGATTGGAGATATGGTTTCCGCTTTAAAGATTCTTGAGAGGATGAGTCTTGTTGGATGTCTTCCTGATGTCATCACCTTCACTTCTCTCATCAATGGACATTGTCAATCTGGTGATTTAGATCTTGGTTTGAAGCTCTTTGATCAAATGAAAGAAAGAAAGCTTTTTCCAAACACATACACGTTTTCCATTGTCATCCATGCATTGTGTAAGAAAAACAGAATTACTGAAGCCAGCGAGTTTTTAAAGAAATTAAAATGTAGAGCTGATATTGTGCCCCAGCCATTCATATACAACCCGGTAGTTGATGGGCTTTGTAAGGCTGGAAATTTAGAACAAGCCAATGCCATTGCCGCAGATATGGAGGTTAGAGGATGCTGTCATGACAAGATCACTTTTACGATTCTCATTCTTGGGCATTGCATGAAAGGGAGAATGGCTGATGCAGTTAATATTTTTAATAAGATGGTTGCATTGGGCTGTACCCCGGATAAATTGACTATAAGCTGTTTCACATCTATCCTTTTGAAAGCTGGTATGGCTAAGGAAGCATATAGAGTAAAGAACTATGCATCAGGAACTGTTCCGTATAGGAACAATATTGAAGTCCCCATAGCCGCTTATAATAGTTAATAATACCCTTGGTTGCACACTTTTTTTCCGGGAAGATTATGAAAGACTCTTCTTCTACAATGCGGTCTTGGCATGGTTCAGTATGCATGATGGAACGAACAATAGCTAGAGGTGGGACATCCCTGGACTTGGTCGAATTTACTACCATGTAGCTTCTTCTCACAGGTTGGTTTTATAGTTGAACATTTGTATTTGAAACATTGGCATTACTGCATTGGCGTGCAGAAAACTCAATCAATATAGGGTACTGAAGAAGTTAAGTTAGAAATTAAAATTAAAAGGCTAATAGGACAATGGGTTTAGAAAGATGGTATATCAACATTTTATCAAAATCATTACTTTATAATGAGCTCTTTCCACAGTCCCAAATTTTAGTTAGTTCTCTTCTCAAGTTTCTATTGAGCACCAATCCATGTAGGAATGGTCTGTTACATGAATTTGGTATTTGTCATGTGATATGCCGTACACGCACTCTAGGCATCATTATTTAGCTTGATCTTAAAAGTTAAAAGCTTTGAACCTTTGACGGTGCCTTTTTTTAGGAAGACAATTTGACTGCTATTCTATTACATTTGTTGTTTATTAGCATGGGGGGAGCAACATGTACACAATACGAGACGGTTTGCATGAATTTGTAAGGTTAGCTAATTTTGAATAATTAATTGACAATATAGATTTCATATCGCTAACCCCTACGGCCCTACGTACTTACATAGTTGGGACTTGGCATTAAGGTGATGATGGTGATATTTTTTTTTTTTTACAAATGTCTTGCTTATTTCCATCATTTACAATGGAGCCAAAGACTCACTATTTTTGGCTTGAGAATATGATGAGATAAAGCAAAATGGCTCACTAAACTGTTTGCGCTTCTTTGTCATGAAGCAACAGTCAGTCCATGCAATTTTCAACGTGATTTTCACTATGGGTCATCCAGAAACAATCTCTCTCTGCTTTAGTACAAAGGTAAGGCTGCGTACATCAGACCCCTCTACCCCATCATAGATGGGAGCCTTTGCGGCACTGAGGTAATGATGATAACGCCAACAAAGATTTTGTTTGATTTCCATCATTTCCAATGGAGCCAAAGATTCACTATTTTTGGCTTGGGAATATGATGGAATGATAGAACTATCGCAGGTATGTAATAGTATAAACAAGAAAATGAGCTCAAGAAACAATCTCCAACTTCATTAATGGTTGTAAGCCAGTACAACAAGTCCCAAAGAGAAGAGAAAAATATGTCTAATCTTCCCAGTCCCAGCTCAAGTGTCTAACAGTCTACCCGTCCTTTCCCAGACTTATTCTATTTATAACTTCCCAGCTCAATCAAAAAGTAGTTAATAGCTAATAACAGAATTTAACTATCAACTAAGTATTCTATTTACTCTTTCTAGAATAAACCCGACCAAAGTTTTTATCCTCCTTATTAAAAGTAGCCGTATCCCTATCAATACTCTCCCTCTGAAAATTCAACTTGTCCTCAATTTGGAATTCTAGGAATTGTTCTTGGATCACTTTTTCAGTCTCCCATGAATCTTCAAAATTAGGAAGGTCCTTCCAATGCACCATGACTTCATTTTCCCTTTCACGATTAAATCTGATATCCTTCACCTCTTCTGGTATCACTCTTGATAGGTAGATGTAGGTTTCAACACCTTTTTTCAGTAGAGATATGTGAAATACAAGTTGTATTTTACTATCCACTGGTAATTTAGTTTAAAGGCCACATGATTTAACTTCTCTGTAATCTCATATGGACCATAGAATCTGGGAGTTAGGTTCTGATTTATGCTCTTAGCCAAGCTCTTCATTTTATAAGGTTGTATCCTCAAGAACACCCTGTCACCAACCTCCATTTCCACTTCTCTTTTGTGCTTGTCAGCTTGCTGTTTCATCAAATTCCGAGCCTTAGCCAGGTTTTCCTTCAACTCCTTTAGTATCTCATTCCTTTCAGCTGATAATCTGGATACTTCAGCCACTGCAGTTAAGCTGACATCCCCTCTGAATATGGTAGGAGGCTCTTGTCCAAACAATGCTTGATATAATGTTTTTTAGGGATATGTGATAATTGGTGATGTACCAAAATTCTGCCCAGGGTAACCATTTCACCCACTGTTTAGGTTTCCTGCAAGTCAGACATCTCAAGTATGTTTCCAAACACCTGTTGACAACCTCTGTTTGCCCATCACTCTGAGGATGATATGCAGTGCTATACCTGAGTTGAATGACTGCCAATTTAAACAGCTCAGACATGAAAAAACATAGAAAGATGCTATCCCTGTCACTCACAATTGACTTAGGGAATCCATGTATCTTCACCACTTCTTGAATAAATAGCTCATCAACTCCCTAAGCATTAAAAGGGTGAGATAAGGGCAAGAAATGTGCAAATTTAGTTAGTCTATCAACTACCACCAGAACAGTATCTTTTCCCTGAGATTTAGGTAGCCCACCTATAAAATCCATACTTATGTCAGCCCAAATATGGTTAGGTACATGGTTTTAAAAGGCGTTTAGCCTTTACGCACCTGAGGTGCAAAGGCGCAAAGGCGGTCGGTAATCGCCTGAAAGGCTTAAGCTTTACCTTCTGCTAACAAGGTTTACGCCTTCAATTTGTTGAGGCGTTGATGCGGACTGTGGGGCACAAGGCGTACACGAGGCGTTCGCCTCTAATTTTACGCAAGGTTGGGTCTTTTTAAAAAAAATATTGGGGGCCTCAATTTTTCTCTCCTAAAATATAGAATACCTGGATCTTTTATTACTTAGCCACAGCCTTAGGTCTTCCAAGTTCCAATCGCAGGTCTTTGACTCTTCTACGAGACTACGATATTAAAAAATTAGAAACAACGACTTGAAGAAGAGCTGCTCGATCAGCCTGGTGTCTCACAGTCTCAGTTGAAGCTCGGTATAGAGACTTCAGGAGCTGCTTCGCCGGTTCGTCCAAGCAATTATAAAATATCCCACCGCCCAACTTCTATAATTCTTATTGTGTTTATTATTTAACTTTTTCTATTTAACTTTTTAGTTATTTAAAGGTTTTATTTTGAACTATTTAAAGCTATTTAACGTTATTAATGTATTTATTAAGCCTACTGTTTAATCCGTAAAGTTATCATGTAAAACTCTTAATAATTTATTTGCTTGATACTACATACTTTACTAGTTTACTTGACTTAAGATTTACATTTTAATTGGAAATATTATACTCCCTCCGTATTTAAAAGTTCCCTACACTTTCCTTTTTGGGATGTATTTATAAGTTCCCTACACTTCCATTTTTGGTAAGTTTATCCTTTATAAAATACTCAACTACCCTTACTTTATCTATTTTTTATCTTCTCTTTCGTACTTTTACACCCACTCTCCTACTTTTTCTACACTATTCACTACCCTTACTATTCTATCCTAAAATATTGTGCCAAATGCAAATGTAGGGAACATATTAATTCGGAGGGAGTAGTTACGTTCATTACAGTTTGGTTTTATTTCTTTATTTATTAAAGTTGATTATCAATTATTTGTTTTCTTGTCATGGAATTTTAGCGTTTTTTTAATATTTCATTTTTATGTTATTTTGACTTGGATATTTTATTGTTATGTTCTTTTTACTTGTGATTTTGTTTATTTGTGTTATTGTTATGAATTATTTATACTATCTGATATGTTGTACGCTTTTAGACTATTAATTTTGAGGCTTACGCCTCGTTACGCCTCAGGCTTACGCCTCGTGAGGCTACCACCGAACGCCTCGGGGCTCGATTTCGCCTTTCAAAACCTTGGTTAGGTATAGGTAAAGGGTGTAACAGGCCGACAAGTTTTAGGGCTTGATACTTATTTCTCTGGCAAACCTCACAACCCTGAATGTAGTTCTCTGATACACTGATAGAACTATCGCAGGTATGTAATAGTATAAACAAAAAGAAAATGAGCTCTAATCTTCCCAGTCCCAACTCAACTGTCTAACAACCTACCTGTCCTTTCCCAAACTTATTCTATTTATAACTTCCCAGCTTAATCGAAAGGTAGTTAATAGCCCATAACAGAATTTAACTATCAACTAACTATTCTATTTACTCCTTCTAGAATAGACCCGGCCAAGTATTTATCCTCCTTATTAAAAGTAGCCGTATCCCTATAATGGAATAAAGCAAAATGACTCACTAAACTGTCAGCCCCTTCATTGTTATGAACGAGCAGTCGGCCCATGGCAATTTTTGATTCGATTTTCATCGTGAGTCATCCAGAAACTGTCTCTCTTGCTTTAGTACAAGGGTAAGGTTGCGTACATCCGACTCCCCTTACCTCACCGCTCATGAGAGCCTTTCTGGCACTGGGGTAATGTTGTTGTTGTAAAGGTTTTGGTTGAAAGTGGAATTAATGGTATATGTAGACCATGGATGAGGTTATACAGGATTTATGGGCCATGGATGAGGCTAAAAGCTGCACCTATAAGAAAATTAATTGTCGACAGTTGGAAATATCAAGCTGAAAAATAAAATTTATTGCTTGAAATCAATATACAACATATGATTACTTTTATAGGCCTAGACTAACCTAATTCAGGCAATGATGATAATTTGCATGTCTTATTTTTATTTTTATGGAAATCTTGCATGAAAGTGGAAATAACATATAAGGATGAAAGATTTGAAGAGGGATGCAATATGCAGGACATCCAGCACAAAGCTTTGTCACTGATTTGTTACATGAATTAATAGTGTTAAGTTGTTAACTGATGTTAGACAATTAGTTGACGCAATAAATTTCATTTCACCACAGTCATATGGTTGGAATTAAGGCACTAATGGTGATCATTTTTTGGCATTTAATAAATGAAAGTGACCTGCTTCCACTATTTTTTCCTGCTATACAGAAACTGTGGGCCATGGATGGGGCTAAAAACCGTATACAACAACATACAAGCCTTAGTCCCAAACTGCATAAGAACCGAATCATTAACAAAATTATTTGTAACCGGTTGGAAGTTTGCAACCTTACCCTTGTACTAAAGCAAGAGAGACAGTTTCTGGATGACTCACGATGAAAATCGAGTCAAAAATTGCATGGACTGACTGCTCGTTCATAACAATGAAGGGACTGACAGTTTAGTGAGTCATTTTGTTTTATTCTATGATAGGGATACGGCTACTTTTAATAAGGGACTGGCAGTTTTCTTTAGGCATGGACTAACATGATTTAACAATTAAGTAAACACGTAAACAATCTACTAATTGATACAAATGTCCTAATTGATACTAGGGAATCAAATATCATTAGAAACCTCGTAATAATAAATCCAATATTCTAATATTACAATACTCCCCCTTAAGTTGGTAATTGAATATCTATCACTCCCTTCTTGCAAGTAAGATGCTAGCTCTATAGTCACTCCAGTGACTTAGGAACCCAACTTACCAGTCTCTTTGAGAAGATCAAGGACATATTTTCTTTGCAAAGTGCAAATGCATTGTCTTGAGTATACCACTTCCATACCGATTAGTTAGTTACCGAGGAAATATTTAAACTTTCCAAGGTCCTTCATTCCAAACTTGGCTGCTAACTCGTTTATCATGTTCTAATTTTCAAGTTCATCATTTCCTGTAATGATCATGTCGTTTACAATCTACATAGACTAACCAAGGAGTTTAGTTTGGCATTTTCAGCATAGTAAAGTTTTGATCCAATTCATTCCATAGGCCATTCGAAGTACCAAAATTATAAGTCACGGTGAGAGTTTCTTGGTTAGAGTTAAAAACATCATTTTCCAATTCGTTACATGCTGGGAGGTCATGCTTCATAAAGTACATCTGTACCAGATTCTTTTAGATCTCCTTAGCACTTAGAAGTAGGGAAAAATAAATACTTTCAGCTGATCTCTAGTCACTGAGTGCCAAAGCCATGTCATAATGGGATAATCCTTGTGAACTCATGCATGATGCATCATATTGTGGAACTGTCTCAGCATGAAATTTTCCTTTCATGCGACTAATCCTCTTGCGTCCTCTAAGTGTGGCACACATAAGCTGGGCCTACTACTCTACTAGGCTACTAGTGGAAGTTTCGTCCTATTTAACTGATATGATCCTTGCAATATTTAGAGATCATTGTGGGTGAAACGTCGAAGTGACACAACAACATCCAAGCTTTAACCCCAAAAGAGTTTAAGGTCGGCTAACATGAGACAACATATGACATCAAAATTAAAAACAATAAATAAAATAAATAATACTCCTTCCGTCCCTTAACCCTTTGACAACTTTCCTTTTTTGATTGTCCCACTAACTTTGTCACTTTTCCTTTTAAGTAAAGAATTTGTGATTTTAGTTCTCTCTCCTCTGCACAAATCTAAACCACACAGTTTCTACTTTATTAATTTCCGTGCCGGTCAAACGTGGTCAAATTTTAACAAATAGACAGAAAGGAAGACAAACAAGACCAGACCAATCATCCAAATGTATACTCTCCCTCCACTCCACTCTCTCAAAATTCATACTCTCATCTAACCCAAGAAGTACCATATCATTCTTCACCACTCTAATCCACGTCTGTCTAGGTCGTCCCCTCCCACTACTTCTTGCCTCCCCTCCCCACCCCTCAATTCATCTAACATGTGCATCATTGTCAAACCACTTCAATCAAGACTCTTGCATCTTATCTTCAATAGGTGTAACTTCCACTTCCACTTTTTGCCTAATTGTTTTCGCAAATGGTCTTTTCTAAAATGTCCACACATCCAACACAACATAAGCACCTGTCACATTCATTTTTTGAATGTGACATTGTTTCACAACTTTCACCACCCAACACTCTACGCCATATAATAATGCAAGTTCAGTTGTTGTTCGATAAAACAAACCCTTTTGTTTAGTTGGCATAACTCGGACACATATAAATCCTGACACACTCTTCCATTTCACCCACCTTGTTTTGGTTCTATGAGATGCACCTTCATCTAATTCACCGTCCTTCTGAATTTTGGAGCCCAGGTAACATAACATGTTACTGATTGGGATCTCTTTAGCATCCAAGGTAATCCGACTATTTCCATTGTTTCTATCACAACTAAACTTGCAATCTATATACTCAGTCTTCCCTTGACTCAGTCTAAAACCTTTCCTTTCTAGGGATTGTCGAAGTGACACAGGGAAAAAAATGACCATGACTGTGGAAGTTTCCAGTGATGGAGGCTGGGCGTGAACCCAGAGCGATAAAAGTGGTGTACTGGTGTCAGGAGGGAACATTGGATTCGGCAAAGCAACTTGACCACGAGGCAGGAAAAAGGTACTGTAGTAATATTGGCTAGGTGTTTTTTTACTGCGGAGGGCAGAAGCAGAGCCCACAGAATCAAGACACTCTGATACCCACTGAAATTAAAATACAACAATTTATTATGTTTGGTAGCCCTTTACAAAATCTCCTAGTTGATTTGAATCTCCTAATTGAGGCTAGAAAAGCATATAAAGAAACAAATATCTAAGTAATAAACCAACTATTGTAATATTACAGCATATTCAGTGTTGATGTGCTGAGCTATCTGTAAACAGGCTACCAGTTATTCTGTCAAGAAGGAATACAAAGGTGGTATTCAAGTTGTCTGAAGTGTCATGCTGATGGAAACCCGTGGGTAAGAAAAACTGGCCAGCTCACACTTCAGTTTGTGGTACCCCAGCAATTTGTAACTTCAGAAGAATTTTGATGTCTCCTCGCCTTCTCAGTGGTCTAACTCTTTTGTACAAGACGTAGATTTTCTGAACAGATCAGCACAAATATGATGCCTTTCCACCATCATATTTCATTTAGAAGAGACCAACTTATTCACACATCACAAGTCAATTGGCTAAAACTATTTTTATTAATATTGTGCAAATAAAACTTCAATTCAGTTGGTAGAGATCAACTTATTCACCATGATGTTCCTACTTGGAATAGACCAACTTATTCACAAGCCAGTCGGATCAAACTAATTTTATTAACAGTGTGTATAAACATCTATGTTTTTTGTCGACTCCATACTTGTTGTTAGGCTCAGGCTACCTTAGGTTTAAAAATACTCTTTATTGTGGTGCAATAAGTTATACTTTTTCAGAGTACTTATTTTGGTGCAATAAAGAATATAGTTTGCTTTGTTTTGATTTATTTATCTGATAACTAATTCCAAATTCACGTTGTCCAAATATATACAGAAACACAGTTTTGAAGTAGCAGTAATTCCATGCAATATTCGACGCGATTTTCATCACGGGTCATTTGGAAACAGTCTCTCTGTACTTCAATACAGAGGTAAGGCTGTGCATATTCAACCCCCTACCCCACTTTAGGTGGGAGCCTTTGCGGCACTGGGGTAATGTTGTTGTTGTTCTTCTTTTCTGTTGATTACTTCTCCCTACTGCATACACGTCCAGGTATCTCGGTAGTGAAGATTGAAGAAACAAGATGCCCGAAAGCTATATGTGGAAAAATATATCCTTACACAATCCAGTAGCAAAGTGTGGTAAGCTATTTTCACTTACCGGGATAACAATAGTATAGTTTGCTGAACTAAAGAATGCTTTTGTCACTTCAGAGTTTGGACTGTAGGAAATTTGCATTCCTTTAACTTATTTGTTTGCTACCACTTAGATCACACCAATGTTCTAAAAGGCAATTGGCGCTTCTTAGGGGGCGGCAGACCGCCTTGTGCGGAGCCCATATAAGCAGGTGCCTAGGTCTTCCTCTCTTTCTTTTTAATAACATTAATTAATGAGAATATATTTTTAGAAAAGCATGTTAAAATAAAATGTTCTTATTTTTTAGTCATTCAGATACTTCATATACACTGAAAAGTTACGCTTCTATTGTAAAAATACTAAAATGAAATCTAATAGAAATAAAATAGTGAATGGTCAAATGATTTTATTTAGACTGCGTGAACAATAAGTTGGATTGAAAATGAAGCGGTCCATCGGGCTGCATAGGCCCCCGCCAAATTATTTACCAACTAGGACGAAATCAGGGTGGTTGACCGCTGCCTAGCCCGATTTAAGAACAATGCTCATATTTCTCTATTGTTTAGTACAATTGGAGTTCCTAAATTTATTTTTCAGCTGAAGTGGATAAAATAGTAATGGTGAATTTTTCCTCAGAATGGGACATACTGGGAATGTTTGGTTTTGATTTTATATTCCTTTTATTTCTTCCTGTAAGCTTCTAGCTGAAGGGTGTACCACTGGTTTGGTTATTATCCAAAACCTTTCTCAAAGGGATTTTTGGCACTTAGTGAATTAAAGAATTCCACAATGTTTGAAGGACACAAAGAGTGATTATACGTATCTGTGTGAGTTAATTGTTCCAACTGTGAAATTTCCCACTAATTAAAGGTCTTATTTGGCTCTTATTTTATTTTATTATATTTTACTTCGCGGGAAGTTGAATATTTGTCAGAGATCTTAAAATTTATTTGCAGATTTGCTGTAATTGTTTGAACTGGGATGGAAGGATGTGAGATAATGCTGCCTCTAGGAGTATAGGAGGCATTTGGTATGAGGAAAAGTCAATACTTTCCATCATTTCCATGGAAAGTAATTGGCAGGAAAAGTATTCTATTGTTTGGTATCTCATTTGTCCAGAGTGAAAAGTCAAATGAAATAATTTTTCTCTTATGAGAAGGAAAATGATTCTCATGGGGAGGTGATACCAGATTCCGTGAAAGTGATTCTGATGAGAGTAATTCTCGTAGATATAGTACCAAACGCCCCCCAAAAGTGTGTATTATTTATTCATTTTTTTCCTTGAGAACTGTAATTGGGTATTTGGTTATAGCACGATAAGTTGCAGTGGGGGGAGCAATGTCTAGTGCGTGTCGGCTGTAAGCCTGTAATGCTGTATAGGATAAAGAGTGTAGAATAGGGAAACATGAGTTGTGTACATTTTTGTAGGACACTCATTTATCAAGTGTTTAAAAGTAAGATAACTTTTCAACACTCAATAAATGAGTCACATATAAATGCACACAAAAAATGTAGGAAAAAGGGTCAAATAAACCCTTCTACAATTGCTAAAAGATCACCTAAACCCATGTACTTTAAAAAGCATCATATAAACTCATCTACTCTAAAAAAAATAAGTCAAACAAGCCAAAATATCTATTATTATTGTTTTATTTTTCTTTTGGATTGCCTTAGATAATACTGAGTACCAGATTATAGGCCACGTATGCCCAACCCCAAATCTGCCTGCTTACCCAATTTTCATTAAAAAAAATTGGACCTAGAGGGAATCGAACTCTTGACCAACGACTAATGCATGCTAAACACCAACCATCACCGCTACCTGCTTGCCGTTGAAAAACTTACCTCCACCTATATCTATACTTTGTTACATATTTTTAAGTATAAATAAATTTGTGATTACAATAATGACTACGAGTATTTTTATTGATGTCATTATAGGTGTATTATACTACTACGTAATAAATTACGGAATATTTGTGAAGATTCAAAAAATCTATCATTATTATTTATAATTTCAATATATAAATATTATTTTCACATACTACATATTATCTATCCAATTCTAATTTTGAATTTATTGAAAACTATATGTTTTGGCTCTTTTCTTCATATTCTTGTAAAAATTATTAAATTTTGAGTTAGGGTAACTTTTTACCATATAAATTTAATGTAATATATAATTAGCTATATATTATGTTTATTCTTCACTAAATGTCATTTTTAATACTTATTGTACTTATGAATTCAAATTTGTATACCTGAAATAATTATTTTGTGCATTTTAATTTGTTGAAGAATGTGGTGCATACGTTAAATTATTGTTTATTTCTATCATTAAATTAGTATATAAGAAATGTATTATATATGCTTTATTTTTTAATTTTGAAACGTTTAAAACATGCCGTGTCTTTATTCATTCCATGAATGATGAAACATATATTTAGCCGTATTTGTATCATATTATACACAAATGTACATATTATTGTACTATTCACAAACCGTATAATACTAACTAAACACATGGATCAATAATGATAGCATTATTTGGTCATGGGTCAACCTTGTTAACGCCAAAAAAACCGGCCAATATTTCATGAAAAATAAATGTAAATTATAGTTCATTATATATTAGATTAAAGAGAAAATAGCTTTAATGCGAGTAACCCAATCCCTAAATGTTTTGAATCTTTTCACAAATACTCGTTAGTTTATCAGTATAGTACTCCTATAATAACATCAATAAAAAAATTAAAATACACGTAGTTTTTTTTAGCAAAAAAAACTTGTTATTACTCCGTATTTAAAGAATCACTATATTAGATATTGGCATAATATTTTAGGGAGAAATAGTTTGGGTAATGAATAGTGTAGAAAAGTAAGTGAGGAAGTGGAAAAGTAGAAAAGAAAAGATAAAAAGTAGGAGCAGGGGTGGACTGGGCCGGGCCGAACCGGCCCGCCACTGTGCGGGCCCGGTTGGCCGGTTCCGGGCTTTTAGCCCATGTGGGCGGGTCGGGTGGGCCGGGCTCGGGCCCTATTTTTGTTGAACCGGCCCGGGCGGTTCAGGCCGGGCCCGGTTAATTTTTTTTTTTTTTTTTTTTTTTTTTGTTTTTTCAATTTTTTTCTTTTCCTAGGGTAGGGCTGGATGTTTTGGGGTGGTTTGGGGGGTGAGGGTGAGGGGGGGGGGGAGTCGGGGGATAACAAGAAAGCAAAAAAAAAAAAAACATTGAACCGGGCCCGGCCCGGTTAGGCCCGGACCCGGTATCAACCAGGGCCGGTTCCGGGCCCATGTAATTGGAAAATAAGCCCGCCCGGGCCCGGCCCGGAACCGGCCCGGCCCGGGTCCATCCCTAAGTAGGAGTAATTAAGTATATTTAAAGAAAAACTTAAAAATTGGAAAATGTAGTAAACTTTTAAATACGAAATAATAGTGTAAGGAGTTAAACTATAAATACATGGGGAGGTAATATATTTAGCAAACACAAGTAGCTCAGTTGGTTTGTATCTAACAAAATATTATCTTTGTGAAAGGTGGAATTTATGGTATAATAGTTTGCATAGATAAGAAAATAACTCGGAATAGCAGGTCATCAACCGGTCGGGGACCAATGAATGAAGATGAGGTTCAAAGGTTGGATTATTCATGAATAACGAAAAGGTCGGACTATTAAAAGAAGACCGCTAAAAGGTTGGATTATTAATTTCCATTTTCCTTTTTTTTTTAATGAAAAATCAGTAAAGCAGACAGATTGCGGGTAATCTGCTTCCCGGTATTATGACTATTATTTAAGGCAACACAAAAGAAAAATAAAATAACAATAATAATGAGAGGGAAAATGTGAGCATGACCTCCTATTGCAGGTAACTTTTGATATTTTGGCTTAATTGACTTATTTTTTTTAGAGTAGACGAGTTTTTATTATTGTAAATAAGAATATTAAGTTTGAAATTTAGTCATTGTGATTTTTTAGTTTAAATCCTTGCTACGGTTAAAAAAAGTTTAATAAATAAAAGAATTTTAAGTTTGAGATTTTGTCATTGTGATTTATACACTATTTAAGAAAAATTCATAACAATATCATATATAATATTCCTCCGTCCCGCTAAGCTAGATTGTCTATTTTCTTTTGGATTCGTTCCACTGAGATTGTCTTATACTACCTCCGTCCCATTTAAAGGTTCTCGTGGCAAAAATGACACGATTATTAGACAATAATTAAATATGTTAATTCAAGTATATTTTGAGAAATAATTTTGATGAGTATATAATGTAATGTGTTATTGATGATAACTGTGATTTTATAAATGTATTATTTTTAGTACTTGATGATTAATTTGTCATTTAATAGTGTTAATTGTTTTCTAAAAAAGACACTGAGAACCTTTAAGTGAGACGTCCAAAAGAGGAAAGTGATAACCTTTAAATGGGACAGATGAAGTACCAAATTTGGTAAAGTTGTGTGGTTCTAAATCGTTTTTAGTTTGTCAATTTAGTATCAACCGCATAAACTCCTTTTTTTTAATAATTGCACCACAATCTCATTTTCTAATGTTAGTGGGACAGAAGTAGTAATTATTTGGGAAAGAATATTGTTTGAATATTGGGCAAAAATTGTCGCGCCTTGCACGACCAAACGCTAGTATAACAATACATATATATCTAGAGGTTGATGTTCTTTTTTCATCATCTCTTTCATATTCTAATGTTGTGTTTTTACGCTGATTCTGTGAATATTAGGTGTTTTTAATTTACACTCTCTGCATTTAGAAAATGTTGTGTATCATGGTTCTCGAATAATCTAATTGATATTTTGAGGATACACATCTGCAATACATAACTTACCTTACCTTCACACCGGCCACTTCGTGCTTTATTATTACCAACAATTGTTCTTCTTAAACAACATGACTTTATCTTCAAAAAAAATTGGAAAATGTAGTAAACTTTTAAATACGAAATAATAGTGTAAGGCGTTAAACTATTAATACATGGGGAGGTAATATATTTAGCAAACACAAGTAGCTCAGTTGGTTTGTATCTAACATGCCTCATTGTGGGTAATCTGCTTCCCGGTATTATGACTATTATTTAAGGCAACACAAAAGAAAAATAAAATAACAATAATAATGAGAGGGAAAATGTAAGCATGACCTCCTATTGCAGGTAACCTTTTGATATTTTGGCTTAATTGACTTATTTTTTTAGAGTATATGAGTTTATATGATGGTTTTTAAAGTACATGAGTTTAAGTGATCTTTTTGCCATTGTAGAAGGGTGTATTTGACCCTTTTTCCAAAAATGTATATATGTCATGTAGTCATAGACTTATTGATATGAGCATAGTCTATCAAGTGATCTATGCCGATTTTTTATGCAAGTTTAAGAAATACTCCATCTCTACGGAATTTGTCTTTTGCTTTTTTTTTTTCCCCTTGTGTTGCAAAGTACACCGTTTTTTGTTGAATTTGGATTATTTTAGTTTTGTTATTCATATTTTCCCTCTCATATGTTTTCACTTAGAATAAATTTTCGGATCTGATATTGTCTAGCTATTTAAATTTGGTTTGGTTTGTTTTAATTAGTCTAGTTGGATTTTATAATGAAATCAGTTCAAGTGAAAACATTTTAGATCATATTTACATCATGGAAAAAACTTTAGAGATCCTTTATTTTTCCTCCCTAAAATATGTATGTTATGGATAACGAATTGGGTTTACCTATTTCTTACTAGAGCCGCCCGAAAACCCAAAAATATACATGTATACCTACGTATGATACCAAAACTCCCTCGAGTAGCAGTGGATATCTATAACTACATTAAAATGGAATAGTTAAAAGAGATTTGGGTAGGGAAAAAGGTTACATGAAAGTGCAGTGGTGGTCATGTGCCCCCAATAATGACAAGCAAAGAAACAGAATCAAAATCGCCATGTGCTTAGTCTGGTAATTCTGGTTTGTGGAGCAGTCAAAATTATGTGCTATTGTACTTCTCATAAACTGATAAAGGAAAAGTCGCTGTGTACACTCCCGGTTACACACCGGTGTACACAGCATAAAAAGCCCACCCCACCCTTTTTCTAACTATCTCACCCCACCCTCCTTCTGAACTAACCCGTCCCACTCCCCTTCTCCTCCCATGCGCCCTTCTCTTTCCCGTCACCCCACAAAAAAAAACCGCTACCCACTCCCTCTTCTTCTCCGTTCATCCGTACCCTTCTCCCTCTTCTTCTCCGTTCGTCCGTCGAAGTTGACACCTGCGAAACCCAAGAACCCAACAACGCTCTCTGTTCTCCGTTCGCAAGTCACGAAACCCGCCGTCCCGCGCAACAGTTGAATCGACGAAATCCATCCGACCGTCGTCCGCTTCACTCCGCTCAACTGGTACGACGGCGACTGAATTCGAAGGGCTAATCTGAAATTTTAAAGTGGAAGGCTTCAATGGTCATCCAGGGCTAATGAACGAAGGACATGGTGCGCACATCATTGTAGTTCAGAGGTAAAGATCTGCAAAACCAACTTCTTTTGTAGTTCTTAATACTTTGTAGTTCCCTTTTTTTGTAATTTTTTGAATTTCTGCATTTTGAGATGGGTTTTGTGAGATGTCGGTGTAGTGTGTTGTTATGTGTTTG